AGTATAGTATAGTATAGTATAGTATAGTATAGTATAGTGTAGTATAGTATCGTATAGTATAGTATGATATAATATTGTATGGTATAGTATAGTATAGTATTTTATTGTATTCTATTATATTGTATTGTATTGTATAGTAACGTATAGTATAGTATGGCATATTATGTTATAGTATAATATAGTATAATATGGCAAATCATAGTATATAATAGTATAGTATAGTATAAAGTATTATTGTGTATCGTTATGTTATATTATATACTATAGTGCAGTGATTCGCTTATTGTACGCTGCTGCGCCCCGGGGAGACGCGGCCTCTTTACAGAGGCACCGCGAAATATTGTAAAAGCTTCAATTTGTGAAAATGTGCTGTGATTTGCAGGCTCATCCATCACATTAATTATTAAATATCAATGTAATGTTGACAAAGTAAAAAAAATAATGAAGATACACGAGTTTTATTTATTTTTATCTCTTACTTAAGAATAGTCATACTTAGGGTAGGGCGACATGAAAAAATTTTTATTGAAAAAGGGCGCCGCGACTAGGAAAAGTTTAGGAACCACTGGTATAGTGTATTACTGTAGTTTTTTATTACATCTATTTTGGGATGATATGTTATGGTATTGTATTGTATGATAAGGTAGTTCCTTCACAACATGGTAAAACTCATTATATTTATTTTCATTTACTTAATCTTCATATCATTTTGGCATAACTTCTTAGTTTATAGCTTTCTTTAGTATGTTTATGCCATATTTCGTTTCAAAGAATACATTCGCTGCATTCAACCCCCACAGTTTGGTTCCCAATTTTCGCAATTGCCTTCGCACGTTTTCTTCATTTTGGCCCGATTTTCATGTCTTTCGACGTCGACGTCGACGTCGGTTACTCGAGCCGTAGCGGTACGCCTCACCAACCGGCAGCAACAAAAGCTCCGGGATCTACCGAGTCAGAGGGCAGGTCATTATGTTGACCTTCCATGAGACCAACTTGTGGTTGCTGAACCGCTCGACGGTGTCCTCGAGTTGGTACCGAGGTTGCATTCTCCGGAGACGCAACTCGGTCTTCAAAACAGGTTTATTCGGCGTCCGGACAAGACAATATGGCCGACTGAACGAATAAACGTGGTTTTCTTGACCCAAATTGTACCTTCTCGGGCTACCACTTGGCATCGACATGGCCAACGGTGTCGCCAAGGTTGAAGCATTGGTTGGGGGGTTAGGGACAGCGAAAAAGCGCGTAAAAAACGGTGGAAATTGCGATTATTCTCGATCAGACTCATACGTCCAACAGTACAATCGCTTCCCAATAGGCTGCTTGGGTCAGTCGAAACAATGAAAACGTAATGTTAAATATCTCCCGCCCCTTTGGGCCGATTCGTCTGAAATTCGGCATCCCCTTGGAGAAATAAATTTCACATATTATCCCAACTTTTTGTAAAGATACCTTTTCAATTACTTGAGTAAAATTGAATTACATTTTTGTAATGAGGTTTTGAATGGTGAAAATTTAGTGCTAGTGGGTGGAGTTGATCGAAAAATTATTGCCCAAGGCAACATAAGAGGTGGATCTGCAATGTGTCATTGGAGAGGTGAGATGTTTCTGCAAAAAGTGACGTTGAGATTTTGGACAAAAGTATTTTACTTTTCTCTACATTCTTGCCCAAAATAACATACACCAATCTTGAGAATAAAAAACTTCCGCTATTCACCAAGTTAACTTTGTACATGGCATCATGATGTGAAGACAATTCACACCATCGGATAGCTGGAAAAGAGAGCTCTTCAACGAGCCCGGTTGCCAGAAGATTGGACCGGGCTGAACGCAGCAAATCGGCCATTTAGCCAGGATACCTGCTTCCCCTGCAGCAGCATGCGTGGCGTAGAAGTGACGTGCTGGGGCTGTGAAAAAATGCTCACGTTCTGGTTATGCACACGGCCTACAAATACGCGTGCAGATCGACTGCGCAGACCAGTCAGACTTTGCCTCGCTCTCTTCGCGTCCTC